AGCAGCTAACTATTCAATGTGGTGGGATGACAATGAAGGTGTTGAACACGTTGACGACGAGGGCGCTTTTCGTTTGCGCACCCACGAGTCGAGGCACTTTGAGTACGCTGGCCAGTCGTCGGCCACTATTGAGCGAGATGGTCCCACACTGCAGACTCCATATTTAGTTCGTTGTACTGGTGAAGAATAAGCTATTATGTGTGCAAAACAATTGAAAACTTCTTAAAACTGAAGAATTATTGCAGTCCGCTGATGTTTAGGCGAATATTTCAGAATCCTCGGGCCATAGAAAAGACAATCTGAACGCTCAACGAGAACAAGAATAGAACGAAGACGCCAACCGATGGCTAGAAATGTATTTCGATTTCAAATTGGTTGTAGATAGCAACCGAGTGCTTTCGCAGTCGTAATTCTAACTTCAATATGGGTTCTATTGTCGATGACGGTCATATCTTGGAAAGAGGTTCTCACGGTTTATCGCTCGAGAGGAACTGGCGATTTACTGCTCGAGATGGACGCTAAGGACCTCTACGTACCTGAGGAAGAGACGGTTTTGTTTTAAATGACACCGACGAGTTTGATAGCGGTAGTGACACAGAAGATAGTACCTGGACTGACGATGCACGTCTAATGATGGATGGGTTTACACAAAGTGTGAAGTCTATGAAACTCCTCTTGACCTATACGAACTGTTATTTTCCAGGGATCCGCTCTTCAGGGTGGGCCAGAACTTTGACTACAGCGCGCGCTGGCGCTCATAGCAAATTTTTTCTGAACTCCTAACATTTCCTTCGATTTCTTCCACGTCACAAGGTAGATTACATTATTACCTTCCTAGTGATACTAAACTTTTTGAAGATTTTGAAATAATGTAAGCGTAACTACCGCGTGAATTAATCGTCGCTTTGCATTTACAAGCACTTTTGGCACGGTGCATCTTCAGACGACTTACGTAAGATGGCAGGTGGTGCATTCAACCATAAGACGCTTTCAAGGGTTGGAAACAATTACAGATAGGAGTGGTAAACCTAAGAGGCCTGCGGTTATATTTGGGGGAAGTGTTAAGAAGAAGGGCTACATAGCAGAGATGTTCATCCTGAGCCTAGAATGGCTAAATGAATGGATATCCCATGACGTTTTCTGCGCGAAATCGTGAAGCATCGCCTGCACAACAAGGTTTTTATACGATCAGGAAGTGATTTCTCCAGTGAGCAGGCTGAAGAGAAGAGAACGGTTGGCCCACAAAAGCTGCCCCGCCGCATCCGAAAAAACTGTCCTACGGAATTCCTGTTCACTGAAGAAAAGATATTCACGGGGAAAAAGTTGCTTAATAGGCAGAGTAACAGAATTTATATGAAGCTGAGAGAAATGGAAGGGATGCAGCGCTAGGCTCACTGAATTTCTGTAGTGGCCTTTGCGAGCATCAGCATTAAGGCAAAAACACCGACTATTTTTGTAAATCAGGGAGAGAAAGTCTATTTGAAGGCCTATTTGATCTCTTCGTGCGCAATAGGACACTTTGGCGATGCAAACCGGACATATTGTGGAGATGAAGCTTCTAACCACAAATCAGAAATTGTCTAGAAATTTTGTAAAATGGGTTCCCTGACTTCATCACCTCCGATCAGTGACCACTCTGGAGCCCTGACCTGAATCTCGTAGATGTCCCAGTGTGGTCAGCCTTCGAGATGGAGGCATCCGTTAGTCCAAGCAAAAAGTGGAATAATCTCGAAAATGCCATGGAAAAGCCGGAATCAACTCGATGACCTTAGCTGCGTGACACCGTCAATGTCGCCCATCGTCGTGTCTGGGGTTAGGTGAGAGTGGAAAGCAGCAGATCCCTGTTTCAATGTACTATTTTGATAAGAAATTAGTGTTAAACACTATTCTGAGATCGGTTTGCAGTACTTCCCAGCCCAATTCCTCAATTTTTTTCCGAGGTGTTCTTCGCGACACGTGGACGAGCGTTGTTGTGGAGGAATTTTGTCGACGTCGTTTCGACACCTTGACGATGTAGTGCTTAATCGACGCGGTTCAACTGATCTTTATAAATATCCGCCGTAACCGTTTGGGCCGAATCCAGGACTTCCAAGTACACTAAACCTTTGCTGTTCCAACAAACACAGAGCATAACCTTTTTGCCTTGTATATCCGTTTTCAGAGTGGGTTTCGGAGTGTCACCGGCGTCTAACCACTGTCTTTTTCGTGTTGTGTTGTTGAAACAGATCCACTTTTCATCTGAAGTAACAACAGAGTTGAAAAACCACTGTTCTCGGAGTGACGAAGAAGGAATCCTGCCATTGCCACTCGTGTTGCCTTGTTGGCGTCGCTCAGCTGGTGCGGTACCCATTTTCCGCACCTATTTGTCTTACCAATCGCCAGCAAATGTTCATGGATGGTACAGTTTAAGCAGCCAAAGTGCCAAAGATAAAAAACAAAGTAAACACAGCCAAATATACATCATAAGATGCGCAATGAAAAACTCTTCCTAATAGACGAAACTGTTTTGAAACATCTCCTTTCTGTGGTTCTCCACATGGGTATGGCACTCATGTAATAAAATCAAATCAAATCAAATCTCCTACAGTAGGGGGGAAATAAATGAACAAAGTTAGCGCGCATTCCTTTCCGAACATCCTAATAATATAGTAGCGGTCAAAAGTATTCGTCGAAAAGTTTTTTCGCGCCTGGCCGATTGCTTGACCGATTTGCTTCAAGTTTTGGTATGTTTTGTCATTCAATATTACGAAAATTGAGCCAACTGTGCCTAGAACGTGATCTCGATCGACATTTTTTGAAATTACTGTTTTCACCCCGTGTCACTACTGTAATGTGCGCTCTTTTAGCGATATTCAAACATCGGTAAAGAAGGCTGAAACTTCGGAAGTCATCCGTAAAACTATGGTCGATATGAAAGAAGCAGGCATGAGCGGTGCAACGATTGCGAGAATTCTGAAAATTCCAGAACGCACCGTGTCATAAATTTTTATTCGTTTCCGCGAAAGGAACGCGGTATCTAACGCTCCGAGAACGGGCAGGTCGCGTTCAACATCTACTCTCCAACTTGCCAGGATAAGCGCATCGTTCGACTCTCAAAGGCCGATCAAACGCTTACCAGCGTCGACATCGCGGGTGTGATCAACGCTAGTGATGGACTAAACATCAGCAGACGGACCGTGGCAAGAAGACTTAATGCTGCAGGGTTGATTGGAAAGCGCCCAGCTAAGAAACCGCTGATCACCCCGAAGAATCGAAAGGCAAGAGTAGAGTTTGTCTCTCGGCACCCACCTGCACTGGACATCAAACGAGCGGAGTAAGGTTCTATTCACCTATGAAAGCAAGTTCAACCTCTTCGGATCTGATGGCATCAAATATGTGAGACGTGGTGAAAGATGCAATCCGAGATACACTAAACCCTCTGTCAAGCACGGTGAAGGATCGGTGATGGTGTATGACGCGTTCCCTTTCCACGGAATGGATCCTATCTAAGAATTGGAGGCACGATGACTGGCCAAAGCTACGCGAACATGGTCATTGAAAAAAACTCTCCATAGGTGGAAGATAACATGCCAGCCGGATGGGTTTTGCAACAAGACAATATCAGAAACACACTTCACGAGCCGCGAAAGACGCCTTCCAGCAGAAAGATGTGAGACTTTTGGACTGGCCGAGCCAATCTCCGGACCTCAATCCAGTCGAACACATATGGAAAGAACTTGAGAGATCGGATGAATGCCAGCTCGCTGCACGGCAGTGATCAAGAGTCGTGGATTTCCGACGAAATGTTTCTCTTAGACCTGGATTTTGCAAGCTGTTTTAAAAGATTGTGCATTTGACTTGCTTTACTCGCAATAATTTGTTGGAATGAAATGCCGGTAATGTATTATTATATTATAAATGATAAAATTTTCAAGCAAATCGGTCGAGCAAGAGAAAAATACTTACAAAAAACCGTTTCGGCGAATATTTTTGACCGCTTTTGTATATATTATATATACACTGCGTTTCATAAATGTAGGGCCGCCCTAAATTTTCATGATTCCAAATTTGCTATGCATGTTGAAAAAATGCTGCTGTCATTAGTAGATTGCCCATGTCGAAAAACCTTGGAACCGTTTTTCTGAGAAATTTTCCACTCCAAATAACCTGAATAACTCACCCGGAACGAATTTTCTGTGTATCACTAAATACGGATCCACTCCTAAAAAATTCCGTTTCTCTTCTTGCATGAGGGGAAATTGGAATGCGGGGTCATACAGGAGTTTGCTCGGTTTCGTGTAATTATGCCTCGTGCTACTCGTCTCTCTAACCAAGAACATGTTCAAGTCAGAGCACTGTTTGAAGGCGGATGGTCGAGAAGGAGGATTGCCGCCCATATCGGCCGATCACGCAACTGCATGAACGAATACCCGCGGAGTCCTGTTCAGTACGGGAAGAAGAATAGTCCAGGTCGACCACGGCTGCTTTCTGCCCGAGATGAAAGAGCAATTGGACGTGTTTTTTCAAAATCAAGCGCTGAAACGCGGCTTCGTGTGAGCAAAACTATTGTCTGGAGGGTAACCCAGCGGAGCGAAAGCATCACCAGAGAGTTGATGAGGTGGATCCCAAGACTATCGGCGCGACACAAAGTCGCACGCCTCCAATTCGCCGTGAAAAATGCCTCATTTGATTGGACGAAGGTGCGGCTATTACGACACTTTGCAGTCCTCGACTCCATATCCTTATTTTACGTTTTAGGCAATCTGGAGCGACGAAAAAAGTTCATTCTAGACCTGACAGTAGAAGAGGGGATTGAAAGGATTTGCGCCAAGCATTCTTGGATTTAGAGCAACGTAATTCCGATGGAGGATCTCTCATGGTTTGGGGCGCCTTTTTCTGCGGCTGGACAGCTTGGACTTGCTTTTGTTTCCGGTCGTATGGATTTCGTAGAATACCAGAGAGTTCTGGAGGACCGACTTTTACCATTTCTTCGGCAACACCGTCGTCGTTCATTGTTTTTTATGCACGATAACGCGGCTGTCCATGTCATTCGTTCCACTTCTGATTGGATTGCAAGTAGAAATATCACAGTTCTCGAGTGGCCTGCACGTTCTCCAGACTTGAGTCCAATGGAGAATGTCTGGGCCTTCATTGTCAAGAAGATCTACGACGAAGCAAAGCAGTACAACTTAGTCGAAGAGTTCAAACTGTCCATCTTCGACGCTTGGACAAATTTGGATCCCGCTTAGATAGCTAGCTTGGTTGAGAGCGTGCCAAGACGCATTGGTGAAGTCCTTGCGAATAATGGAAGACCAACCCATTATTAAGAAGTTGTAACATCCACTCTGTTGTAATAAATTTTCTCGTTAAAGAATGTGTAGTCATACTCATGAAAAGGTGAGAGTAGCTTCCAAGGATATTATTTAACAATTCTAAAGTGAAATTTCTTCACAAAATCTGTACAAAGGTTTTCCGTTATGAGGAATCTATTGGTTATGGCAGCATTTTGCAAAGGTGCGTTGCAAGCTTGGAACTGCGAAAATTTAGGGTGGCCTTATATTTATGAAACGCACTATATATATATATATATATATATATATATATATATATACAGGGTGTCCCAAAATTATTGGCGCCAAAATACAGGAATTTTTAAGGTACAAATAATATATCAATTTACATAACCTGTTATTAATTAGTTGCATAAGAAGGTTTCCTTGCAATATGCATGGCTACTGATGTGGAACTCTCAATATCTTTCAGATGGAGGAGGCTCATTCAATGCCACTTGCAATTATTGACACGCGAGAGGTGGAAGGGCATTATGAAATTCGTGGGGATTTTTGTAATTACCGGATAGGAGGTTATTAAACAATATAGAAAAGAAGATTGAATCAGAGACAAACCAGGAAAGATAGAAAGGTACAATGTTTCTGAAGATAGGACTATTAAAATGGTCCGTATGCCAATCGGTCGGGATCTTGGGTGACCCATGAAAAGGAAGTCGACGGGCACGGCTTATCCGAGTTATCGCGATGGAAGAATGTCATGCAGGAGCTTCACTGCCGTTCCTATCGTATGCAGAAATTTCGCTTCAATTCCGATCTCAACAGATACTGCAGGGCCAAAGATGTAGAAAGTCGAAAGTGGTGACACGCAACCCTTCATCGTTTTCTCTGGTCAAGAAATTTTTTACGATAAAGCCATTCCTCAACAACCAAAACGTTCGCGTTCCGGAAAGAAACATCCAGCGTGTAATATCTCACAAAACGATTGTTATCAGAACAGTAAAATGATGTTCTTCGAGGCAATCACTGGCAAGGGAAAGCCGCTCGTGGTTTCTTCGGTGCAGGCGTGAAAATTGACCAAGACCAGTACTCAAACGGAGTACTAATGGAAGTAAATAAAACATTGGTCCGACTACGTTTTCTTGAACATCTCATAGTCCTTCCAGCAGGACGCTACTCCAGCCCATAGAGCCAAGTTTGCCCGCGAAAGGTGCCGACGACAGCTGCCCGACTTCATTGGTGAAGAGGTATGGTCATCCTATTTTCCAGAACTTGACTCGCTTGAATCCCACGAATGGTCTCTGATTAGAAGAGGACCTGTCGAGTTTGCAGTCCCAGTTTGGAGTCCTAGAATGCAAAAGCTGGAGGACGGCTGGGAAGAAATGGAGGAGGATACCTGCGTGCCACATGCGATCAAGTCGAGAGCAAACTTTAACTTCTATCCGCGCTCATGGGGGATATTTTTAAATGCGACTGTAGCATGTTGTAGCACATAGCGTTGGCTAACGTGCATAGAAATTCCTTAGTCTTTCGCAGCTGAGAAGTTTGAAATATATTGCTATAAATGGGCGCCAAGCCAAACCACTCGGGAACTGGCAACACATTTTGGCTGCTCAAACTTGACCGTCCATGAACATGTGCTGACAATTGGCAAGACGAGCAAGTGCGGTTAATGATAATCGCACCGTCGCGTCGCGGGTCGGGTCGCGGGTATGGATCGCGAAAATCATTTTGGAAAAAAATTGAGGAATAGGGACTGGGAAGTCCTGCATCATCCGCCATCCGCCATACAGCTCAGACTTGGCGCTATCCGATTACCATCTGTTCCGGTAGATGCAGCACTCCTTGGCCGAGAAGAAGTTCAAAAACCGCGAAGAAGTCCAACTCTGGCTGTTCAACTACTTTGAGTCGTAGCAGGCCGAGTTCTTCAGACGAAGAAACCATTCTCCGCTTGAACGTTGGCAACAATTCATTGCTAGTAATGGAGATTATCCTTTGAATCGATCTTGTTTAGTTTCGTTATTATGAGAAAGAAAATTTTGAGCTCAAGCTCATATAACGCTCTAATGTCTATGTGTTTGACGGGAGCCCTTACGGTGGGTGGCAGGACCGGACTCCGCCCATAGGGGGCGGGGTTTGTGCGAAATAAGTGTTCGCCCGGAAATTCATAACTCATGTCTTCGTGGACCAATAAAGTTCCAACCTGGTGGATCACCGGAAACATGATGGGAACACTTATGGTGGAAGGCAGGACCGGAATCCGCCCATAGGGGACTGGGTTTGTGCGAAATAAATGTTCGAGCGGGAATTCATAACTCCTGTCCCCGTATACCGAGAACGTTCAAATTTGGTAGGAGTAATGGGAACAGGATGGGAACACTCATTGTAGATGGCACGACCAGACTCCGCCCGCAGGGGCGGGGTTTCAGCAGAAATTCATAACTCCTGTCCCCGTGGACTAGAAAGTTCAAATTTCGAAGGAGTACATCGGCAGGATGTGGCGACTCCAACCACGTGGGGCCGGCTTGCAGGAAAATTGTAAATTTGGTTCTAGGGCGTTCAAACTTGTTAAGATTACTGGAAACATGATGGGAACACTTAAGGAGAATGGCAAGACCGGACTCCGCTCACAAGCGGGGTTTGTGCGAAATAAATGTTCGGGCGGAAATTCATAACTCGTTAAAATTTGTTAATGTTAAAATTTGGTAGGAGTAATGGGAACAGGACCAGACCCCGCCCACAGGGTGCAGCGATTGCGCAAAAATTGTCAGTTTGGCCCTAGAGCGTTCAAACATGATAGGAGTACAGGCGACAGGATGGGAACACTCATTGTAGGTCGCAGGACCTTCAGCTGCACGGAAATTTCACGGAGGTACGCTTCCCATCTGTCTTTTTTTCTGAATAATCGCCTTTGTGATATTATACGACTTTCTTACCCGACACAGCGAAGACGGCTTACAGAAAAAATCGCTCCCAATTCGGAGCTAATACTGAGGGTGTACAGCTTCCGAAGAAAAAAGAGAATCCTAAGTGTTATTTACGCATAGCAAACTTCTTACAGGAAGGAGGGAAGCCCGGCGAAGCCGATCGACACCATAAGAAGGAGGAAGCCCGGTGAAGCCGGGGGACATTATAAGAAGGAGGGAAGCCTGGCGTTAGCCGGGCGGCCCGACTGGTATATATATATATATATATATATATATATATTTATTTATT